AATCATAATTTGGTCCGTTCCAAGGCTTTGAAATAATTCTGTGTTTTTTTTGCGATATGCGGGCCTCTCACTGTTGCGGCCTCTCCCCTTGCGGAGCACAGGCTCCGGATGCGCAGGCTCAGCGGCCATGGCTCACGGGCCCAGCCGCTCCGCGGCATGTGGGATCCTCCCAGACTGGGGCACGAACCCGTGTCCCCTGCATCAGCAGGTGACTCTCAACCACTGCGCCACCAGGGAAGCCCTAATTCTGTTTTTTTATATGTGTCTAAGGCACTTTTTCAATTTAGGTGAAATTCACCTAACATAAAATTAACTATTTTAAAGTGTAAAATTTAGTGTCATTTAATAAATTTACAATGTTATACAATCACCACCTATATCAAGTTCCAAAATTATTTTCATCACCTCAAAAGAAAACCCTATACTCATCAAGCAGTCATTCACTCCCCATTCTCTTCCTAGCTCCTAGAAAGCACCAGAACATTAACTTTTAAGTTACACTAAGATATTTAAAAGATATAAAGCAGATAGTTAAAGAGATACAGATTCTAGATGGTTGCACAATTGCATCTAGTCACACAGAAGAGCTCAAGTGTAGTTTTTTCAATAATCTCAAAAAACTCCATTATTTTATTAACCATTTTATGTACATTGATATTCAGTCTTGAAAACTGATAAAAACATGTCCAGAGTTTCTTATAAAGACAATGTACAAATGCTCATTTACATTCTGCACATTAATAATGATGATGAAAATGACACAATATTTATAGCTACATAAAAATATATACAAGGATTCAAACAGACGATGTTATTTGGCTTATAACAGTGTAGATACTACACAAAAAAATGAGGATGTAATTTTCAGAAAAGTAAAAATGTGACCAAAATCACTTTTCATCTTAAAATTTAAAAATAAAATTCCTAACAATCGTAATTACTAGTTCATACCCAAATCTCAGACTAATTCAAATTAGCCACGGTTAGACATAGGTTAAGTTAAATATATATATATATATA